AGACTCAAGGACAAGATCAAGAATTGAAGACTTAGTCGAGTCTGTCTTTTGTGATCAAAACCGACAATAAATTCAAGTCTCAGTTCTCAAAAAGTCAAAACAATTTTTACAAATCATAAAATATTTTTTTGTGCATCAAAACAAACATTTTTGATGATTTCTTTTATTGTTAAAATCCCTGGTCCTTGCTCAGAACCGAAACCACCTAAGTCGGTGTTCGGCTTTCGGCGTTCGGTTTTTGGCGCCCGAACCAACTCCGTGGTTTTCAATATTTTAAACCCTATTTTTACCTCTGAGCATTTTTAAAATGCTCCCAAATAATTATTTTATAAAAATCATTTTTGTATCTTGGTCGATCGGTCTAACACGTGAAAAACGGTCAAAACCGTACGCACGTATTATACGACCTTGGAGACTTGGTTTTTACCAAACAAGTCTTGTTTTCACTATTTTATACCATATACAATATTTTCCAAACCTGGTTTTACTTTTGGGAACACTTCGTTTTTGGACCTCGGTTTTTCAAAACGGGTTTCAGCTGGCTAGACTTTAGCTGGGTGATAATCGATTATCACCTTAGTGACAATCGACTATCAGCCCCTGCAACTTTAAACTTCCAAAGTTCTGAAGTACGCAATAATCGATTATCAGCTATGCAATAATCGATTATCAGCCTTTGCAGCCAAAACCCAGAATCTTCTGAGAGGACAAATAATCGATTATTACTTGTTGACAATCGATTATTTGGGTTACCGTTGTCCTCCAACGGATAGAATTTTAAATTTTTGGACAAGGAATCTTTGGATAATCATCAAGCTTTGACAATCGACTATCACCCTGTGTCTCTGAAAAATTTGTCTTCATCTTGTAGGAAACTCTAGGAACGGGTTTATCCCATTTTTGGCTATAAAATGGCACCCAAATCCTCTCATTTTACACACAATTTTTCAACATTTCAATACTCTTTCATTGGATAAGCATTCCTATTTTTTCTTAGCTATTTGAGAGCCAATTCTTGAAGAAATTGTCGTGTTTTTGAGCGTTTACTAGTTCACTCATATCTACTCTTTGTGAGAGTTTTATTCCTGAGTGTT